GACCCTGTGTGGGCCCTACACACACACCCCCCCCTCCCCTTCCTTGCCCATTTTGGGTTTCATGGGGAAAACAATAGTCAATAATTTACCAAGTTTTGGACGAGATTGCCCTAGGTTTTAGACCTATTTCGGATTGGTTGACCCAGCTGGGCTGGCGTCTGGGCTGATCCAGCATTCTTTTCGAGCTGTTGTTCTTTGACCTCCTGAGATTCACTTTTTATTGGGCCTGGTAATTGATTAAAAAAAAAAAAACGCTAAACCCTAAACCCTTAACCCTGAACCCTAAGCTCCGAAGAATGTGCCGAGAGGCCATCCTGCCACCATGCCGAGAGGCATATGTGGCAACCATCTCACTATGCCAAAGACGCCCCCAGCCACGAAGAACGTGCCGAGATGCACCCCTGGCACTATGCCGAGAGGCATAAAAGTGGTATCCATCTCACCATGCCAAGACGCCCCTAGCTCCAAAGAACGTGCCGAGAGGCACCCCTGCCACGATGTCGAGAGGCGAAGGTGGCATCTATATCTCCAAAGAATGTGCCTGAGAGGCAACAAAGTGTTTGAGCGTGTGAAGTACCTAGATGGGTGACCTCCTGAGAAGTTTGGCCTAAGATAGTTATCAAAAAAAAAAAAAAAAAAAACCCTAAACCCTAAACCTTAAACCAGATGGATGCCACATATGCCTCTTGGTATGATGGCAAGGGTGTCTCTCTACACGTTCTTTGATGCACAAGGCATTTTGGCATGGTGACGGAGAGCTTCGTAACATGTGCTGGGCAGCACAACCATGCACCCCTGCCACCATACCGAGAGGCATATATGTGGCATCCATCTCACCACGCCAAGATGCCCCCAGCTCCAAAGAACATGCTGAGAGGCACCCCTGCCACAACGTCGAAAGGCGCAAGTGGCATCTATCTTTGAAGAATGTGCCTGAGAGGCACTAAAATGCTTGGGCATGTGAAGTACCGAGATGGGTGACCTCCCGAGAAGTTCGGCCTAAGACAATTATCAAAAAAAAAAAAACAAAAAAACCTAAACCCTAACCCCCCTTAGTGGGAGAGTTGCCACTGGATCCCATAAGAACTCACGAGTTAAGCATGCTAAGGTGAGAGCAGTTCCCGGATGAGTGACCTCCTTGGGAAGTCCCCAGGTATGTGTGCATGCATTGCGACACGTGTTGCGAACCCTTCTGTCACCATGCCAAGATGCCCCTTCTCCAAAGAACGTGCTGAGAGGCACCCCTGCCACCAGGCCGAGAGGCATATGTGGCATCCATCCCACTATGCCAAGACGCTCCCAACTGTGAAGAATGTGCCGAGAGGCACCCCTGCCACCATGCCAAAAGGCGCAAGTGACATCTATCTCTGATGAATGTGCCTGAGAGGCACCAAAGTATTTGGGCGTGTGAAGTACCAGAATGGGTGACCACTCGAGAAGTTCAGCCGAAGACAGTTATCAAAAAAAAAAAAAAACCCTACACCCTAAACCCTAAACCCTAATTCCAAAACCGTAAATCCTAAAACCCGAAACCCTAAATTCTAAAACCCTCCTTAGTGGGAGAGCTGCCTCTGAATCACATAAAAACTCTAGAGTTAAGCATGCTCAGGTGGGAGCATCTGTGGCATCCATCTCACCATGCCAAGACACCCCCAGCTCCAAAAAATGTGCCAAGGAGGCACCCTTGTCACGATATCGAAAGATGCTAGTGGCATCAACTCCAAAGAATGTGCCTGAGAAGCACGAAAGTGCTTGGGCATGTGAAGTACCGAGATGGGTGACCTCCCGTGAAGTTCAGCCTAAGATAGTTATCCCAAAAAACAAAAACAAAAAAAAAACCCTAAAGCCTAAACCCTAAATCCTAAGCCCTAAGTCCTCAACCCTAACCCCCCTTAGTGGGAGAGTTGCCACCGAATCTCATAAGAATTCTGCAGTTAAGCGTAATATGACTGTGGGTGACCTCCCGAATGGGTGACCTCCCTGGGAAGTCCTTGGGTACGTGTGCATGTGTAGCGAGACGCTTGCTGTGCATGTGCCGAAAGGAACCATAATATGACTGTGCTGCCCAGCACGTGTTGCGAACCCTTCCATCACCATGCCAAGATACCTTGAGCTTCAAAGAATGTGCCTGAGAGGCACCAAAGTGCTTGGGCGTGTGAAGTACCAAGATGAGTGACCTCTCGAGAAATTCGGCCCAAGACAGTTATCCAAAAAAAAAAAAAAGCCCTGAACCCTAAACCCTAAGCCCAAAGCCATAAACCCTAAACCCTAGACTATTCTTGCAAAAGATCCCTTTATGGGCTATTCTTGCAGTATGCAAGGATTTTAGATGTTATTGCCCTGAAAATAGAGAAACTCCGAGGTCAAGCATGGGTTGTATTCAATGAACTTACTTCTGCGAGTGCTGCAGTTCGCCAGATGCAGAACTTTCCTTTTTATGACAAACTAATGAGCATAGAGTATACCACGATGAAGTCAGATTGCATTGCTAGGGAGGAAGGCACAGAACTTAGGAGTTAAGTATGCTCAGGTGAGAGAAGTCCCTAGAGGGGTGACCTCCCTGGGAAGTCCTCGCGTATGTGTGCATGCCTAAGGAGTCACCTGCTCTACATCTGCTGAAAGGCACTCTCATGCCACCAGGCACGTGTTACAAACCACTCGTCACCATGCCTAGAGGCACTCAGCTCCGAAGAACCTGCCGAGAGACACCCCTACCCACCATGCCAAGAGGCCTGGCATCTATCTCACAAAAAACATGTCAACAGGAACTCAGCTCTGAAGAACATATCAGGAGGCACTAGTGGATCTATCTCCAAAGAATGTGTTAAGAGGTACCAAAGTGCTTCGGTTTGTGAAGCACCAAGACGAGTGACCTCCCGAGAAGTATGGCCCAAGAAAGTTATCTCAAAAAGAAAAAAAAACCAAAACAAAACCCTAAATCCTAAACACTATACCTCCCAAGAAGTTCGGCCCAAGACAGTTATCCTCTAAAAAAAAAAAAAAACCCTACACCCTATGCCCAAAGCTCTTAAAATAACCTGCCAAGAGGCAGCCCTACGCCACCATGCCAAGAGGCATAGCATCCATCTCACGAACAACCTGCCGACAGACAGTCAGCTCTGAAGAACGTGTCGGGAGGCTCCCCTGCCACCATCTTGAGAGGCACATGTAGTATCCTTCTCACAAACAATGTGCTGACAACGACTCAGCACCGAAGAACATGTCGGGAGGCACCACAGCCACCATGCCGAGAGGTACATGTGGCATCCATCTCACGACAACGTGCCGAGAGGCACCCAGCTGTGAACAAAACCTGCCAAAAGCCACCCCTACACCACCATGCTGAGGCACTAGTGGCACCTATCTCCAAAGAATGTGTTTAGAGGAACCAAAGTGCTTGGGTGTGTGAAGTACCAGGATGAATGACTTCCTGAGAAGTTCGGCCCAAGACAGTTCTCCAAAAAACAAAAAAAAAACCCTAAACGTGGAAACCCAATTTCATTTGCTCAACTTTTTTCTCTCTCCTCGTGAGATCCTCTCTCTCACCAATGTCACATTCAAATGCTGAGATCTCTCTCGTCAGAGCTGGGATCATGCTTGAACTTGTTTTATTCGATTTGTAAGCTCGGAAACCATCAGCATCAAGCCGTCAAACGTGGAAAATGGTTGATTGATGCCCTCAGTCTTGCAATCTCTCCCTCAAGAGGCATTTTTAAGAATGCTATATTCTCGGTGTAGTATCTACTGATTTACTCTGCTGAACATATAATAACCTTATATCAGTAGAATTGTATTTTCCTGATTTACACCTTTCCCTTCTTGATCATTATATTTTGATGCTTTGTTGATCAGTAAATCATCATTTTCATCAATGGACCTATGTCCAGCTAATGAGAAACCAACGAAACAAGCATGCTTTGGGCCTGGAGCGGTCCAAAAATCAGAACTGTCAATCACCTGCACAATCGATTAACGAACAGTCAGGATTTGCCATCAGCTGGAGATCCCCCGTCCCCAGAGATCGAGGCGATGCTAGCTGGCACCACTATCTTGGTTTCCCTCAATATTCCAACCAGTGATCTAAAGATCAAAAAACTGCATTTACTAGAGGAAAAGACACTGGAATGTCTGATGTTGTTTCCCCAGTTACAGTGTCTGCACCTGCGTCAAAACATGCAGGGTGACAACAGGAGCTTAAATCCCTCCATTGAAATTGAAATCAACAGGAAAAATTCAGTGCCGACACTTTTTGCAGAGACCGTTCCCATGTGTGTGACGCCCGTGACATTACCTGAAACAGAAATGGCAGTCGCAGCTGCCAGACAACCGAAGGCCAGACCGCACCGGCTCACGGCGTGCTGGCCCAGGTTTCGGAAACCAGGGCTCAGCCAGAGCAGCATGCAGTAGCCGAAGCCATGCTGGCAATGGCAGGTCCCTCTCAGGCCCAGCTGGCCGAGGTTGTGTGGAGTACAATCCTGCCAGCTAAGGCCGTTCAGCCCAAGGGTCTGAAGGCCAAGGCTATGGAGACCAAGGCCGGGGCACTACAAGCCCAGGCCAAAGCGACACTAACCCAGACCAAGCAGGCCTAGGCTTCCCCTAACAAAGGCTCCACCAGTCCATAATGTACCCGCCCAGACCATGCCAGCCCAGGCCACCCCAGCCCAGGCCCCACCGACCCACGCCCCACCGGCCCAGGCCAAACCCAAGCCCCACCAGCCCAGGCTACTCAGACCCAAACCACTCAGGTCCAAGCTACTCAGGCCCAGACCGAGCTGCCCCAAACCCACCGGCCGAAACCACTCAAACAAGAGCTGCTTAGGCCCACGTCGAGCTGACCCAGCCCACTAAGGCCCAGGCCAAGTTTTGGGCACAGCGACTAATAGGACAACAGCCCATTCCTACAGTTACAAATACATAGAGGCAAATTACACCCCACTTGTGATGATAGAATACCGTACAGGGGTTACACTGATCAAGGAGGAATAAGAATAATCTCATTT